AAACACAATCATCACATTTGCAAATGCCCCACTCTTTTAACGTTTACAGAACTGAAAACTTTTTGGATCTTTCATTTTACCTACTATTCTTCCATGATTAAAACTAAATTAACAAACGAAATAGAAAATGACTGGAGAATTTCAGACATCCAAAAATGATGTAAAGTGATAATTAATTCAAAGAAGCCTCTTCATAACTACTTTTAACAGCAGCAGTGAGCTATTATAAATGATTAGAACCAGAATCATCAATTTTTAGTACTAGAAGAAACAGAAGAGATCTAATATTTTAATCTTCTTATTCTACAGGGATGATGCTAAGGTCAAAGAGATAAAATGACTTTCCCAAAGTAGCAATGGTGGAGAGACCACTATAAAGCTTAGAAATCCTAGTTCTCACAGTCCATAGGTTCTTCTACTACCCAGTCATAAACCTTTTAGAAAATAGGCAATGCTTCACCCTCCCATAGGAAAGATCATATGGTTTTCTCATGTCCTAGCACAATGCCTCACACACTGTAGATAATAGTTTGTTCATTCCTATACCAAAACTTCCTTTAAAGCTAATTTGACATCCTAGTAAAAATATCTTCGCCCGGGCACGGTGGCTCACACCTGTAACCCCAGCACTTTGGGAGGCTGAGGTGGGCAGATCACCTGAGGTCAGTGAGCCGAGACCTCGCCATTGCACTCCAGCCTGGGTGACAGTGAGACTCCGTCTCAAAAAAAAAAAAAAAAAAGTTATTTGTAAAGTAAAACTAAAAAACTCTGAAATATCATGAAATTTAAATTCATCAGTGTTGATCCAGACAACGTGGAAAAGAGAAATTAAGGAAATCTAAAATCTGAAAAGGAGTCGGCTAGGTTTTATTAAACATCAACGGTACAGAACCCCTGGGATGAGGTGGGTTGGCTGAAACCACAATGAAATGTTAAAATCTAGTTTCGGCCGGTGAGGTGGCTCGTGCCTATAATTCCTAGCACTTTGGGAGGCCAAGGTGGGTGGATCACCTGAGGTCAGGGGTTTCAGACCAGCCTGGCCAATATGGCGAAACC